GGTTTTTAAGATCGGGACTCTCACCATGTGTTTGTTCCTTTTTTAAATTAAATATTTATTTTGTCAGCATCTTTTTCTGGGGGATGAACTCATATACAAAGGTACAACTTGATTTATTAATGACTTGATATGGAGAATAATTGGTAAAAATAATAATCAATAAAATGATAAAAATGAAGCAAATAGAAGCTATTCACAAAGTCTACTTTTTCTACAGGGAAAAAAAATAAGTACTATACGTTAGCATTGAGAGACTGATCAACAATTTAGAATAATGCTATCTTTTTACTATCACCACCTTCTGTTCCTGCTGAAATAAAATATTCATTGTATTCTTAACTACCATAATTTTTAACACATGATAATCTTTTTCTTATTGTTCTCCACGTATGTATTTCAAAGCCTTATAGAAGTCCATCTCTCATTCTCTTTTTTCCTGTAATAATATCAATCTATCTTTTTCAATTGCAATGTAACAGCTTTTCTGAACCATTCAACTGGTTCACCATATGCTGCTTTGTATTGTCAGTTTTGTTTTAATGCATTTTGTTTAGCCCTATTTGCTTACAGATACCAAAACCTTATGTATTTGGTAACTAAGAGATGAGATGCTTCTATTTTATAAACTGAATACGAAGGGAAACAATAAAGCAATGTATGGAAAAGGTTTATGTAGTTAATGACAATTTTATGAACCAGGTAGAATTTTACCTACCTTGCAATAATGCAATTGTTCCTCTCTGTTTACATTTGCATAATGTATTATTACATAAAATCAAATATTATCTTATCAAGGAGATAGTTATATATAATATTTATAATAGTTAACTCGATTGTGATATGCTATGTCTGTTTTACAATGACTTGTATTATTCAAATATCCAATAGTGTTTATAAAGCCATTCTGGAAGCAAGTTTTAAATTAACTTAAAAACAAACAAGTGGCTATTTTATTGAATGAAACATCTAATCAACACCTAGAACAGATGAAATCATACTAGAGACTATGACTAATAAACTATCACAGAAATGCCTATTGGCAGAAGCTATTGAAAAAAGAACTAATTCACACTTTGACCATGAGAAATGTGATAGTGTATTTTTTTAAAAGAAGACTTTATCACAAAAAGTAACCTAATGCTTTATTGAGAATGTGATGTTATTTCTCTTTGTGATAGTATCTCAGAGCATCATATGCTTATGGTAGATAAGAAAGTTTAAGTAAATGTATAAGATGATCATGTTATCATTGAAATAGAATTTTCTGAAAATCTTCACAATGTTTATATTATTTATATCATTTATAATTAATCATTTAAATAATCTGTTTTTAGTTTCAGCATACTCAAAATTTTAAAAGAAAACTTTTAAAAGGTCCTTTGCAGATGTAGATGTTATTATTTCAAGAAACATTGTCTTTAATATTTTCATAAAAATAACTAGTTTAGGTAGAACATATTTCTAACAAGTCCAACATTACAAGTTTATTTAAATATTTTCTGTTAGTTTAACTGTAATTTTTTGTCAAAATAGATACAATTTATTTTGTGTGCCTTGTTTCATAGGTCTGTTGTGACAAGACAGATACTTTACGGAAGCTCTATTACCAATACTGAGTGGAGAACTTAAATCTGTGCCTTCAGAGTTTCGGTACTGTAATGACTATGTTATCTTTTCTTCTAATTATATCTTTAATAGATATTTTTTAAGCAAACATGGTGATAGCAAAGCATTTTTAGTGAATTATAGTCTACAGAATATTTGCCCATTTTAACTGTTATGTTTCATGCATGGCAAGTTCAAAAGTACTAAGGAAATATATTCTACTTCATATATACTGTTTTTAAAAAGAAAAGCAATAAACACACACAGAGTAGTACTGCTATAATTATTTTGAAGGCATACTGTTGGAATTAACTCATGAAATCAAAATTTAAATTTTCTTTTCAAAAATTATAGTAATAGTGGGATACAAAAGTACCACTTATCTACAAAAATTGCTTCTCACTCAACTGCATAGATCAATAAAAGTTCATGTTAATATTATTCTTAAAAATTTTATATTATCTATACCTCAGAGACATGTTTAAGTAATGTCATTGAGTAAACTAGGAGATAGTAAATGATATATATATATGTGTGTGTGTGTGTGTGTGTCTATCTTTAAAGATATATAAGTAAAGATATATATATCTTAACTATTCACATTGATAAGGCTTTATGCCATCACAAAATTCCTCAGAAGATGTCAATGAAAGTCTATAAGAAATTACATTCCAAATAGAAAACTAAACTAAATAAATGAAAGTCTTCAGAGACATTAAGGGTGTAGCTGAAGTAACAATATCAAATGACAAGGTCCCAGTAATGTGTGTAGAGAAACTTTGTTAGGTAAAACAAAATAATTTTAAAAGTTAGTTAAAAATATACTAGCAAAAAATAACATCACCATATAACTGCAAAAAAAGATACTGTATATAAATTTCTATCAAAATAAATTCATAATTTTTTTTATAAATATACTATTGACTTTAAAATTGTCAAAGTAAGATAATTTCTTGGAAAATTATCGAGAAATAGGTGTGGGGGAGGAGGGCTGGGTATATTCACAACCTAATGAGTGTGGTGGGCACTGTCTGGGGCATGGGTATTCTTATAGCTCTGACTCCAGCAGGGCAAAGGCAATATATGTAAACTAAATGATTTTACCCCCATAATATTCTGAAATAAAAAAGAATGATCTTTTTAAAGAAAAATAAAAGAAATATAGGTGCCTAAAGAAGATTTCTACTTCCAAGAGTAGATATCATAAAAATTTAAATTTTCTTTCTCATATAAATATATATATATATACACATACATGTGCATGTGTATATAAATATGCATCTATCTGTCTATCTATCTATCTATCTATCTATCTATCTATCTATCTATCATCTATCTATCTATATTTTAAAGAAACCAAAGCTCCATTTTACAAGAGAGAGGGAGACACAGTGACATGGTTGCACAACCTGGCAATTTATACAGCCACCTAGTGACCTTACAGGGCCATTTCTACAAACCCTGGTCATAGGAAGAGCTTTATATGTGTTCAATACTTGTCCTCCCCTGCTCTTCTAAAACCTTTCCAGACCTTACTAACCTAACCAGTGCATCATAAATTAATTTTGTCAGAAAGAACGTAACTCCATAATATTTTTTCTATAAGTAAAAGTATGCTATAAACGTGCTTGCCAATGACAAGTTTATAACTACATTATATCCTAAAATATAGGCCAGAGAAAGAAATATTTGAAAGATACAAACTTCTCTTAACTATACGCTTTAGGAAAAACTCCGAAGAGGTATATAAATCTCTGAATAAAGCCAAGAATAGATACATATATCTGTAAGGCAGCCAGTAGTAATAAAGTTTCTCAAATAGAACTCCAGTGCATGCCACATTTGAGAAATGGGGCCACGTAATGTATTATTTACAGTCCTCTATACATGGTTTCATTGACATGTTGTATGTATGACAAAAAATCATTTTAACTTTTGTTAATAAAATAGAAAAATTTTACTCAATAATTCATATCATAGATTCATGCTTATGTGTGATATTGAGCTTACATTTATGAGTTATATGTATCAAAGAATTGCCAAAAACAGTAGTTTATACTAAATGTTCATAAATATTGCTGAAACGAAAATCAGCACAGGAAGACATTTGGTCAGTACAGAATGTGTAAATATTTTGATTACTGATTAAAACTGCTAGCAAAATTATGTAATCATAAAGTATCATATTTGGAATCATATTTGGACAAATAGTTAAGTTTCCACTGCTAAAATTTTGTCAGAAACAGCATACTTTAAATTTTCCCATTTCTTTCAGTGTTACTCAGGATCTTGTTAATGGTTTAATTCTATGAGTCTACTAGGTTTGCTATATTCTTAGAACCTCAATGATATCTGGTACATACTGAATAACCCCAATGAGTATTTATTGAATGCAACATCTAATAGTTAACCACAATTTAGATACTTTGGGAGATTTTATTAGATTGTTTTTATCTATTTATAATAAAAATGGTGATATAATTTGTTAATTTTGATGATCATATTTTATTCACAAGTTGTCTGTTATTGAACATTTTTTACACATTTTATTTTTAGAACAATTGCTTTATTTGATATAAACTTGGTATTTACTATAATACATGTTATTTGAGGTAGCAATGAATATTTGGAAGTTGAGGTTTAGAATCTAGTATCCTCTCACTCTATGTATATCTCTTAATTTCTAAGATGATACAGCTTCCATGCACTTTCGTTTTAAGAAATGCCTTCTGGGTATCAAATATATGTAATGACAAACACATTGAATTGAGGTTTTGTAATACCATGGTTTTCAAGGCCAAATAAGGTATTGTCAATAGATAAGCTTCAAAAAAGCTTGTTTAATTGGCAATCATTCTCAGTGGAAAGTGTGTTTATAAAAAGTAATGAAGTAACTACATACTCTCAAAGCAGTTCACAGTATTGATATTTACTACAGTCATGCATGGCTTAATGACAGGGACAGTTTCTGAGAAAGGCATTGTTAGGTGATTTTGTCATTGTGAGAACATCGTAGGATGTACTTATACAAGCCTAGATGATATAGCCTACCACAAGCCTAGGCTACATGATGTCAGTAAGTAAGGCTATTGCTCCTAGGGTATAAACCTGTACAGCATGTTACTGTACTGAATACTGTAGTCAACTGTAACATGATGGTAAGTATTTGTGTGTCTAAATATATCTAAACATAGACAAGGTAAAGTAAAAATATGGTATAAAAGATAAAACAATAGACTTCGCAGGACTGGAAGTTGCTCTAGGTGAGTCAGTGGATGAGTAAGTGGTGAGAGAATTTAAAGGCCTAGGACATTATTGTATACTACCATAGACTTTATAAACACTGTATACTTAGGTTACTCTAAATCATAAGAATATTTTTCTTTTTCAATAGTAATTAACCTTAGCTTACTGTACCTTTTTTAAACTTTATAAGCTTTTTATCATTTTTAAGTTTTTGAATCATATATAGTAACACTTAGCTTAAAACACACACACATTCTACAGATGCACACAAAAAATTCTTTCTTTGTATCCTAATTCTATAAGCTTTTTACATTTTAATTTAATTTATTTATTTATTTATTTTTTTTTACTTTTTAAACTTCTTTTTTTGGAAAAGCTAAAACACAAACTCATGCATTAGCCTAGGTCTACCCAAGGTCAGGATCATCAAGTTGTCACTAGGCAATAGGAATTTTTCAGCTTCACTATAATCTTAATGAGACCACCATCGTATATGAGATCCATGCTTGAAACATTGCTATATGACACATAAGTGTACTTCAATTATATTACAATTTGTTCTCACTGTATCCTTACCTATAGAAATTCACCCAAATAAATAATTAAATCAGATTTAAAATTGATAAAGATCAAGGTAACAAAAAAACAAAAATAAATGAGCAGCAATGCCCCCATAGTAGTTTACTTATTTTTTATTTTATTTATTTTTTTTTATTTTAGCGTATTATCGGGGTACAAGTGTTAAGGTTACATATATTGCCCATGCCCCCCTCTCCCCTTAAGTAAGAGTGTCAATCATGACCATCCCCCAAACGTTGCAAATCTTATTCGTTTGGTTGTATATACCTATCCCCTTCTCCCCCCTCCCACCCTCCTGACACCCGATAAACATATAGGAGTAACATTTGTTACTCCTATATGTCTACTGAGGTGTTGATCTGTTAATACCAATTTGCTGGTGAGTACATGTGGTGCTTGTTTTTCCATTCTTGAGATACTTCACTTAGTGGAATGGGTTCCAGCTCTATCCAGGAATATACAAAAGGTGCTATATCACATAGTAGTTTACTTATGAGAGAGTAGCTTTGCTATCATAGCCTATTTTCCCCATATCTTCCTTCATCTTATCCTTGAGCAGATTTTGGTATCAAAAGCACATCTATTAATACTGTACCTGCTCACTTAAAGTATTTTCAGGCAATTTCTGTTAAAAATAATATAAAATAACCAAGCATAATAAAAAGAAGACAATTGTTTATTGAGGTTTTATTTAAACAATGTATACACATTATTTTATTTAATTCACAAAATAGAAGAAAAAAAAGTAAACTTTATGATATATAAATTCTTTTATTTGACAGAAAAAGAAAGGAATCATACTTGGTTAAGTAACTTGCTCAGTCAGAAAGTGTCAAAGGCCGTTTACGTTCAAATACAGAGTTCTATAACATAAAACTCTATGCTCTTATAACTGTATCCTAATCCACCTAAAAAGTACAGTTAAAATTAAATACTAAAGACACAAGAAGAGGAAGAAATCCTGAAGATAATCTATTAATAATAACATCCAAAATTTAGTTCTGAGCATCTGAGAAACTAAAACTATTATCTACCCAAACTAGCTACATAATTGTTATTTTTGATATTCTCCAGGTTTAGTCCACATGCATCTTCCCACTGAACATTCAATTTCTCAGCTAAACTTTTGATGAGAGAATCTTAGTGCACAATTTAGTTGAAATATTTGGCAAAACATATACAAGAAGTATTTTATTGATTTTAATTAAAGATTTACATCTTCTAATACTAAATGTAAAGATAATAGTTCTGATGCTTTATTGAAAAAGTGGGCACAATTGATCTCTATTCAGGTCTTAAAGGAGAGTAGAGGTGCCAGTATCCATGTGGTTAAGAATATTAACAACATGAATTCTGACCTTTTCAAGCAGAACCCTAATAAGATTAAGTACCCAAGTGAGTGATGGGTTAATATAATGTGCCATGGGCCAAATTCTGGAATCTCCTAAGAGCTGTATTGTGACGATGCTCTATTATGTTTCTTTCTCTAGTTGATGTTAAAGGGATCAGAAATAGTTTCAAATAGTGACATGAAAGTGATACAAAGTGTTCAATCCAAAGGTTATAAAAGAAAATTTATAAAGAAAAGGTGCTCTATTTATAACCTAGACTATTTCAAAACTATTGAAAATATTTCTTTAGATTCAGAAGCCACACACACATACACACACACACACACACACACACACACACACACACACCTGGATTTTGGAAAATAGATTATATGTGTGTGTGTTTATGTATGTATAATATCTTAGAATAAATACCACTTATAGGCAATATTCAATTAAATAAAATAATATTGCAATGGAAACATATAAAACATATAAAACTTCACAGATATATGGTGTTTCATAGTTCACACAAAAAATTTCTGCACAAAATCCAATTCAAAATAAAAATCAGAGGAGAAAAAATGCAGAGTAAAGGTAACACCCCAGATTCCTGCTTCCAGAGAAAGAGACATAGATCTTGGTCTCCTACATGCAAGTGGATCTCCTCCGGACAAGAACAGCATCATGAATCAACAGAGGTTCAGGGTGGGACTCTCAAAAGTGGGAAAAACAAAGTGATTGAGAGATAAGATTACGTTCTCTGGAGAGTGCAAACAAACAATAGGGCATAGAGCCTGAGAAGGCGCTGGCCCGCCAGGCCAAGGGGTGAAGTGGGATCAGATCCACAGAACTTCTTGCTTGCCTATTGACCTCCACACCCACCCAGCCAGGGATCTGTCTGAAGGTGGTGTGTAATCGCACAAGGAGAAGAGGGCTATAGAGAATAGTAAATAGTGGAAAGCAACATGAACTCCCCCAGAACTCCATGCTAGGACAGCACCAAGAGGGGAGGAAATTGGACTGAGCTGATGGGGGAGGCAGTTAGATATCCTGCCTCTGGTAACCAGTGGGGCCATTCCTACAGAGCTGTTCACTAAGCTGGGGACTCTAAGCTGGAACTGCCTTGGGAGAATAAGCCTGCACAGGGTGGGTCTGTAAGAGTGAGAACTATGACTGAACAGGCATGAGTCAGTGGGAAGGCAGCATAGAGGAGGCAACGGGGTGTACTGATGACCCAGACCCCTAACCCAGAATCTGCCACCTCCTAAACAGCCTCCTTCAGTGCTTGTACCCTGCGAGTGGGCAAGTGGTCACCATTGAGGGGGTCCATAGCCCTGCTGCAGTGGTGTGATACGGTGCAGTGGGCAGATCCCCTCCCCGAGCCTAGAGACTCTCCTGACAAATTCCGCCCCTCCACAATCTGCTATTGACTGGCCAGGCCTGGCTACTGTGAAGACTAACGCCAAGGGGAGCTATAGCCACAGGTGCGCCGGGGTGCAGGGCAGACTAGGGAGCTACCTCCTCCCCCTAGCCTGCATCTCTAGTGCTGAAAGTGGTAGGCTCCACCCCTAGAGGCGGGATGAGACAAGAAAAGCCACCCTCCCCTGATCTAGGGTGAATCCTCTGGGCCTGTGCACAGATTGAAAGTGAGCAGCCAAATGACTTTGCTTCCCAGAACACTTTAGGTCACCAGGTTGATCAAAACACTGAGGCTGGATCTCCTTGCCTGGTCAGTGGCCAAGAGTCAGGACCATGGTCAAGGAACAAATCCCCCACAAGTGGCCACAATAGGCTCCACAAGTAACCCCTCCCATCAGGGGTAACCTTCCATGTGTGAAGAAAGAGCTCCCCCCCAGTGGCAGATCAAAAAACCGTAGAAGAGAGGACCCCTGTGTACCATATGAAAAAAACATCAGCTAATCCAGATGAGGAGGGCTCAGTGAAAGAATTCTGGAACTATGAAGAATCAAACCAAAAACACTCCCCCAAGGAGATACACCAGCTCTCAAGAAATGCAGACTGACCAAATCCAAAACACTAAAGTGACAGAAGAAGAATTCCAAAATTGAATTGTAAGAAAGCTCAATGATATGCAAGAAAAAGTGGATAACCAACACAAAGAAACCACAAAGAAAATTCAGGACTTGGAACAAAAATTCACTAAAAAAATTGAGATCTTAGAGAAAATTCAATCTGATCTCCTGGAAATGAAGAATTTATTCAGGGACATACAAAACACAGCGGAAAGCCTCAAAAATAGGGTGGACCAAACAGAAGAACGAATCTCAAAGAGTGAAGATAACACATTTAAATCAAATAAGTTAATCACAGAGATAGAGCAGAAAAATAAGAGCCATGAGCAAAGCTTACATGAATTGTGGGATTATACAAAGAAAAATAACCTGCATCTCCTCTAGATTCTGGAGAGGGAGGAAGAAAAAACACAAGGTTTGGATAAACTATTTGAAGACATAATTGAGGAAAATTTCCCAGGTCTGGCCAATAACTGAGACTTAGAAATTCAAGAGGCACAAAGGACTCCTGGGAGATACAATGCAAACAGGAAAACATCATGACACATAGTCATCAGACTGACCAAAATATTAACAAAAGATACCCTCTTACAAGCTATAAGGTGAAAGAAGCACATCATTTCTTTATTAATTTTCTGTTTGGAGGATTTGTCCTGTGCCACAAAGGAAAACCAATCCGAATCACACCAGAATTCTCAACTGAAAGAAACATTAAAAGCAAAGAGAGACTGGGGCCCCATTTGCACTCTTTTGAAACAAAATAATGCCCAGACTAGAATCTTTTATCCTGAAAAACTAAGCTTTATACATGAAGGAAAAATTAATACATTCTCAGATGAGCAAAGACTGAGGGAATTCACCAAGACAAGACCGGCCCTACAGGAAGTACTCAAAACAGTGTTACATACAGAACAGCATAATAAATAATTCATGAAGTAAAAACACCCAAAACCTAAAGATCTAAGG